TGGTGGGGTGGGGGGACCCGCCCGCCGCCGCTACTACCAGTTCGCCGATCCAGGGCAAACCGGGAGCAACCCACCTCTGAATTCTAGGTATGTCAGCTGAGACTGTTTCATTATTCCATTTGACTTTCTTTTTCTGCACTCTGGGGATGAAAATAGGCTATATTTAAACTTGAATGCAAACAAACAAACAAACAAACAAACAAAAATACATTGCTCAGTTCCTACTGTGCATTTTCGGTTAGACATGCTCCTTATGCTAACACTGCTGGAAACCCTGCAGCATATGTAATTGATTAATGTAGGATTTTTCCTCTTTTAAATAAAGTGAAAACCCTCATTTTCCATGTAAATTCATTGAAATATGATTGCAGCCTCCTTTGATCATATGAAAATAAATCCCATGCTGGATCACTGGTAACTGTGACAACCCCCCTTCAGATGACTTCCTGATGAAGTTCAAAGAGCCCGTTGCCTTGACACTTTTACTATTGAGATGTGCCAGAAACTCATTACTCACACATACAGGCAGTTTGCTTTTTGTTTGTTTGTTTGTTTGTTTGTTTACTTTATTATTTCTAACATTTTTGTCCCAAGTGATTTCTCTCGTTTACTCCAGAAGCTGGAAGGGGAAGAGATGAGGCTAATTGTAGGTTATTGATTGGTGGAGCTGCATCAAGAGCATAGAGTAAGTTGATGATACCTATCAAAAAGAAACAGGTTATTGGGATGTCTTGAGTATCTCAGAAACTTCAGTATTAAGTCCTTCTGATCACCATATTGCTGCTTGAGAACTTTCTTTTTTATTTCCTCCTTCAACTTTTAGATGTTAGGTGATAACAAGGAAGGACGAGAACCCAGGTAATGTGGGAAGAGGACAGTGTTTGGTCAACCACTAGATGACAGCAGCAATGCACTTTCTTTCACTCAGATCAGACTCGGAAGGAGGACACCATGGGCATCAGGGAGGTAAGGAGATCCCTCTTTAAATGTTGAGATACTGTAATGATGAAGACTCCGTCAAGTTTACCTTGATTCCTGGTAACCACATAGACAGATTGAATATTTCTCAGCAAACAAATTGGACCCATCTCATTTTATCTTTTGGCCCACCTGGCTTTTTTCTATAAAAATGTTTTTGTTCATAAATCTGCTCACTATTTTTCTGAATTATTTCTAGTGACAGTCCTTTTCTTCCTAGCAGGTTCTATCCTTCTTCCTGTATTTTTTCTCCCTGCCTTCAAGCACAATCTTTCCCATTATTTAGAATTTAAATTCAATTAAGCTAAATTTTAAAAAGTTGACACACATTTTCAAAATGGATGGTTTAGTTTTATTAATCGGAATATTTCTACACTAGCTATTTCAAAGGGTATTTTCATTTTTTGTTCTTTTTTAATGTGCTGAGCCAATTACAAAAGTATTAAAAGAAGTAACAGCAAATATGTTTTCCAAGAACAGGTAAGGAATTTATTCTCTAGGGTGGTAGATTATTTTTTTTAGAAAACAATATATATACAAACACTTCCATACAATTAGGTGGACAATAAGTTAATTATACAATCTAATTCTTCCCGCCTTCTTTCTATAACACTGGTTTGACGTACACTGGGTTATATTATAGATTAGCTATAGAATCTGGGCTGTGATTGGTAAACCAATGGGCTGGAAGATTCTTCTCCTGATATTTCTAGAATTGAGACTTAGTTGAACTGAAAATGGAATCTGTCTTCATTGTTCAAAAAAGAGCTTTGATTTATTGCCCTCCAGATATTTTAGACTACATTATTTTTTATTATTTTATTTATTGATATCTCACCTTTATTACTTTTACAAACAACTGAAGGCAGCAAACATATCCAACCCATCTGCCTCCTTCTACTTTCTCCACAAAAATCCTATGAGATAAGTTGGGCTGAGACCAGGCATTGATGACTATTTGTCATATTGCTCAAGAGCTGTACCTCAAAAGATTAGGTGGGATTGCTTTAAGAGAAAAGCCTGGAGTTGTGCCAACTATGTCAGAGAGGCCCATTCTGTAGATCTGGTTGGAGTATAAAAAATATACTTCCCTGATTTGTAAAAAATTCTGCTACCAGAAGGTAGCAACAACTCAAGGAAGATAGCAAGAGATGAGGCTATATACATATATTAGAAATTGCATGAAGCACAATCCTGGATTATTTTTAAAGTGTATTGCCAAGGCTAGGGTTTAGGACCACAGCTAGTAAAATTACATGTGAAAAAGAAATGGGACAGGTTCCTGAGCACTGCCCTAGGTCAATTGCCACTGATTTATCACAGATTTTTCCAACCTAGTGCCTCAGTTCCCCCGCGAGCTTAGTTATTGACCCTGCTGTTTGGAATTTTGGGGAGTAGTAATTCCAACATATTTGGAAGAGGCCATGTTGGAGAAGTGACTAATTCTGGAGGTCCTACTCTTTTGGTGTTGCATCTGGCCATTTTAAAGAACTTGCAGCTTTCTGTAATACAATTGGCTTCTTCAAAAGGATGATTATTGGATGGTGGCCACTAAGCTGGGGGAATATTTTTTTTAGAGGGTTTAGTTGCAATACACAAAATTAGAACAGCAAAGAGGTGTTCTGATTCTCCATCAGGGTTCTGTAGAAAATGCTTCCTTTGAAAGATTGGATTGGTGACAATTGAGAGCAGGGGCCATTGATAGATAATATAATATTCCTCTGTTAATGTTAGATATGATGCTTGATGCTTAAGCAGTGGATTGGACTAGAAGATTTCCAAGGTCTCTTCTAATAATCATTGGATTGTTATCCATTTATTTATTTGTTTGTTTGTTTGTTTATTCATTCATCCATCCATCCATCCATCCATTATCAGTCTGCACTCCCTGACAACCTGTACAGTTTACAACTATAAAACCAATATATAAAAAATACAACCAACCAGAAGAGCATGATACCAAAACAAAACAAAAACAGTAGGCGCATCTCCTGAGGTCCTGTCAGGATGTCTTTCTTTAATGGACAGGCTCCAGAGGGCACCTACCTTGCTGGACCAAATCTTCATATGAGACATAAATCACAATCTTTTCTTTAAAAATCTCTTTTAATCTGTTCGACCACAGGTATTCTGATTGGTAGCAATGTATCTCACTTTATTTCTGGCTGAATTGGGTTGTTTTAGTGGCATACCTCAACAACCTATTGATCTTTTTTGTCAAGTTGTGTCTTAACTTTTTCCTTGTTCCTTCCTCTCCAGGAACTGCAGAGCCGTCAGTTCTGGTGTAGCCTATTGGCAGAAGCCACAGGCACCCTTATCTTTGTCTGGATAGTGCTGGGTGCCTCATCCCCCACCGGTCCTAAAGAGGTGCTGCCTACTTCGCTCCAACCAGCCCTTGCTGCAGGACTGGTAGCTATCAGTTTGGCACACTGCTTTGGTAAGATCAGTGGTGCCCAAGTCAACCCCGCACTCACTATGGCCTTCCTGTGCACTCGTAAACTGGATGCTCTGCATGCCTCGACCTATATTCTAGCCCAGTGTCTGGGTGCCATCTTAGCATCAGGCTTTTTTTATCTCATGTTACCCAGCTCAGCCATTGGGCAATTGGTCACAAAGGTAAGCTAGTTACTTCTCTTTCTTTCTCTTCCCAAATGATCTCCCTTACTGTAAGACAGTGGCCTCCAAGCTTTCCAGCGCTGCAGACCAGCAGAGATTGTGCTTGTGGTGGCAGCAGAGCAGGTGTGGGGGGGGGAGAGGATGGTTTTGCATGCACACCCACCACTTGCACAAGTGGAGTGTCACCCGCTCACCTGCCTGGCCTGGTTCCCAATGGACCATGGCTCGGAGATTGGGAACCCCTACTGTAAGACATCCCAGGAGATGGAAATTAACTTTGCCTGTTATATCAAGAACCAAAAATGCAACTGCATTACATGTCTCAGTGCTCTATGTCAGGAGCCCACAGTGCCTCTTCTCTACTAAGTAACCTGGTTCGATATCACTATCACTGGCTAAAGAAAAATGGAGCTGAAGAAGTCACCTTCCTTTACTGTGTCAAAGCATGCTACTCCTGTCCATTGTTTATTAGATTTATTTCCTTACAGTGGGATCTCTCTTTCCTTCATTCCGTCAACAAAAACCTTATAAAATAGGGTGATATAAGAGAGTAACTAATCGCAATTATTCAGCACATTTTTGCATCTGAGGATGGACTTGAATTTGTGGTTCACCGGTTCTGATCCACTACCTTAACTGTTATTCACCAGCTACCAAAAGTTCTTTGATTCCTAAAAAATCTACTTGGCAAGCCTGATTTTGATAACTATACACAACATTTGTGAATTGCTTTATTCTTTGTTGCTTCCTAACTTCATTCTCACCTCTGGGATGGTCATTGTATAACAAGCCATTGCCTTCTTGTCCTTCTCCTATGCATCAAAGTGCAAAGTAATTTTGGCTGCCGCAAAGGGAGGAAATGTATTTAATTTTAGATTTTTATCCAGTCTATTTATTTAACTCAAGGAAGCTGATCCTGGCTGTTAGGTAAGCTCCCCGTTGGGAGAGCACGTACGTTCAACGAAGCATTGTGAGAGTTGTGTTGGAGAACACACAAACCAGCATACAGAGACACTGCAGTTTAAATAGGCTTTTACTTTTGTGGAAATAGAGGTATCAGAGTCCATCAAACAGTCCAAGTCATACACGGATAAGACAGTCAGTCATCAACGTCTTTCAGTTAAGGGATAATCCAAATAACATAGTCCAGTATCATATAATCAGTTCAGAACTCAAAGTTTGCTAGCAGTTGCAAAACTTACAATAGCTCACGGCACTCAGATCAGATCAGCCCAGCATCTAACAAACAGAGAGAGAGCTAACAGTCGTTCTGGCTCCCTCTTATGGCCGATTGAGGAAAACAACAACCAATCACATTTTACAGTATAATTTAAAGAAACAGGTATAGCATTGTTACATGATTTATATATTGCCAACCCAACTGTTAGATTATATTCCTAACACTGGCACTTCATTGTTCTGGACAGAGCTCTGATGTTGTTCTTGAGATCTGTTGGAGTCACTCTTCCAGATCCAAGTGCTCCTATCACCACTGGGGACCACTTTGGCTTTTACTTTCCACATCTTCTCCAGAGCCTCCTTTGTGTCCTGGTACTTCTCCAGCTTCTCATACTCCATCTTGTTGTTGTTGTTGCTCTCTCTTGGCACCACTACATCCATCGTCACCATCACAATCTTCTGTTCTTTGTCTTCTATCACAATTTTTAGATGATTGGCCAGTACTGCCTCTTTGGCTGGATCTGGAAGTCCCATAGGATCTTAGCTCTGTTATTCCCCATGACCTTCTGCGGAATCTTCCATTTGGATTTGCAAGGGTCTAGCCCCGTGATGGCGAACCTATGGCACATGTGCCACAGGTGGCACACGGAGCCATTTGTTAGAGCACACAAGACTTTGCCCTGTCAGCTCCTGGGTGCATGCACGCACTGGCCAGCTGCCTTCGGCCTCTTTTAAGGCTGTTTTTCACGCTCCGGAGGCTTCCCTGAAGCCTCTGGTGGATGAAAAACAACACAATACGCAAACTGGAAGTTAGGGAACGGACTTCGTGTGCCTGTAGGGCCGTTTTTCATGCTCCTGAGGCTTCAGGGAAGCCTCCTGAAGGCTCTGGAGGGCAAAAAATGGCCCTACTGGCAAACTGGAAGTCCTGGTTGCCCGTAGGGGTTTTTTTTTCGCCCTCCGGAAGGCCTCGGGAGGTGGGGAAGCTGTTTTCACCCTCCCCGGGCTCCTAGAAAGTCTCTGGAGCCTGGGAAGGCCAAAAAGGGGGTCCATTGTGGGTCAAAAGTGGGGGAGGGAGGGTGGGAGTCACGTGGACATGTGCAGGGGGGGTTTGCACACATAGCATTATGGGTGTGGGCATGCCCGTGCACGACCCCACTGTGCTCCCCCCGCTTTTGGCACCTGATGGGAAAAAGGTTACCATCGCTGGTCTAGCCTATACACTGTGCAAATGTTTCTGTACACAACTATCAGCTACTTGGTTATATTGTTCAGTGCATACTGTTCCTGCCTGCACTTGTACCTGCCATTATGTTGGATTGTCTCTGAGACCTCTGAGGTGTTGTGGTCTGATGTCAGCAAGGAGGTTGGGGAGGAACATGGCCAGTCCTGGAGTCTGGGGAAGGCTGGACGAGGGCTCTGTGTCGGAGGCAGAGAGGGAACCAGGGCCATCTGCGAGTTATGTGCTGGCTCCGGAGCCTCCAGAGTTGGACATCAGTGAGGCAGACGAAGAGGCTCCCCCTGTTCCCAGTGCGTGCATGCACAGAGCTGCCAGAAGGCAAGAACAGTTAAGATAGAAGGGACGACTCAGGAGTAAGGCTTGGAGGTGATTGGCCCCTCCCATAGGACATAAAGGAGCAGCAAAGGCAGGGGAGCCTTTGCAGGAAGCAACTTGGTTCATGCTGGTCAGTTTACCTTCTGAAACTCCATTTTGACTCTTTGCTCCAGGTGGCCTTGCCACAGTAATTGCCAATTAAGTCTTTGGTAGTGTTTCAAGGAAGATAAAGGTGGGTGCTGATCAGCCTTATCCCGAAAGACTTTTGCAGCCTACTGTAGGACACTTTACAACTATTTGGGATTCATTACGGTCTGTGAATGAACATAATTCACAGCCTTTGAAATAAAAAGAGGGGTTTTGGGACAAAGCATCTGCTTTTTACTGTATCAGAAAGCTTAGGTCAGAACATGAGGAGTTTGCATCTCAGGTCTTGTTTAGGGTGGTAGACGCCTGCTTCTATGGATTTGATGCCCAAATGAGCCTGTTCTTGTGCTGCTACAATCAGTGCCACAATGTTGCCTTTTAGCCCAGCCACCAATAGTATTTCCCAATGTTTTCCAGTTCTACTGTTTGTCAATAGTACATCCTCTATGCACCATCTTTTTCTGCCATTGCATTGCCTCTGCTTCATCTTCCTCCTATATATGCTGCTACTGATCTTCCTCCGAGTGTGCTACTGCCTCAGGCATTCTGTTAGCAGCTCATCTTTGGCTGCCATCATACATACATACATACATACATACATACATACATACATACATACATACATACATACATACATACATCTTTTGATCCACAACAGTCACTGGGCGTTGTTTGAAACAGCTGCTTTGCTTTTTTGCAATTAAAATAAATACCTGTATTATTTTCTGGATCTCTTTCAATGGTGGTTCATGGCTCAGCTGGGCTTGTCAGCTGGAAAAGCTAGCAGCCCAGGTTCAAGATAGGTGCATAGGATGTACCTGAGCACCACACGACAGGGTGAGGTCCCATCCTCATTCCAGCTCCTGCCAACCTAGCACTTCGAAAGCATGCAAATGTGAGTAGATAAATACTCAGCACAATTGTGTGGGAAGGTAACAGCACTCTGTGATAACATGCTGGAAACTACGGAATGTCTTTGAATAGTGCTGCCTCAATGGCCTTGAAACAGAGATGAGCACCGCCCCTTATAATCAGCAATAACTAGCACAGTAAAATCCGCAGGGACTCCTTTATCTTTTTACCTTTCAATGGCTCCAGTTTAGCCTGCTGGGCAAAAGTCTTGACAGAAATACAATCTACTACAATTATTTATATGGATTTCTCCCTCTGCCTTTCCCTCTACTCACATTTGCATGCTTTCGAACTGTTGTCAGGAGCTGGACTGAGGATGGGTGCTCACACTGCCACGTGGCGCTCAGGTACATCCTATGCATCTATCTTGAACCTGGGCTGCCAGCTTTTGCAGCTGACAATCCCAGATGCGCCACTGAACCCCCATTGAAAGATGCCCAGAAAAAAAATAAAGATACTTATTTCCTATGAATATGCACGATTTATAAAGGTTATGTTTTAGTCTTAATCTAAGATGGGCATCGTGTGTTTTCAAGCATAGCAAAGAATAAATCATTAGCTGTCCTGTTATAATGACAAAATAAGGAGCAAACCTATTTGTATGAGTTTAAATTACATTTTTCCCATATCGTTTTTGATTGTCATTTAGAGCCTTCACATCAAACATTAACTGTGCCAGCCTATTCATTTTACATCTCATCAGTTAATATCTGAATTGTTTTGATTACACCAGTTCTGTTAATATAAGAAAATTAAAAAATATTAATCTTTTAATAATAAAAAATAAATAAAAATACAATAAAATTTTAAAATCATAAGGTCTCTTTAATATAACCTGTCTAAAAATATTGCAGATTAACTGTTCTGATTTCTGCTGAATTCATAGATTTCTTAGCAACAGTGTTGAAAATAGCTTGCCACTGCTTTCTTCTAGGATGTATACCACAAGCAGTCTTGCATCCAAGTGGCCTATGCAAAGTTTCAACAGTTAACATTTGGACTGCAGAATATATTATGGGGCAGTAAAAGCTTACACAGGTTAATATGTCAAGCCCTTGAATGACTTGCAAAAAATCTCCGCCTATTACTTTGAACCCTTCCTTCTTTCCCTTCTTCCTTTTAGGTCAGCACTGAGGGGAATGCTGGACAGGCTCTGGGGATGGAGCTGTTTTCCACTTTCCAGCTGGCTCTCACCATTTTTGCTGTAGAAGATCACCGGAGGCATGAACTAGGGGAGCCTGTTGGGATTTTGGCTATTGGTTTCTCTGTGATAGCAGGAGCTCTGGCTGCGGTAAGAGCCCTGGCAAATAAGTGCTTCAAAGTGCACCTAATTTCATGGTACCATAGCTCCAGATCTCTCCCCCCCCAATAGGTTTCCTGTAGCAAATTTTAATTAAGGTGGATTTTAATTAAAGTTAACTAAGTTAGATGCTTGTGTTCGGCTGGTGATCTTTAAAATGAAGCTGGTCTACAGCTTCATTTTTGTTCAGTGAAGCTCATCCTCTGTTAGTGGATCCCTTTGTAAAAAGTGCAATTACAGCTTTTATCCACAGGTTTTGTTTTGCTTTTTGCTGTCCATGGACTGTAACAAAACTGGAGTGATTCTTAAAGAGAAAGTCCTGGAAGGCAAAGTAACAAAATGAATTGAACCTACTTCAGTAGGTATTAGATTGTTGAGTGTTTTAGTATTTTAAATCTGAATCTGCAGCCTACCAAATGCGGTATTTTGCCACCTTGAAAATGCCTATCGCAGAGCTTTTTCTCAGGCTTAATTTAACTTACTTTCATCCACGCAGCTGGAAGGCAGCTTTAATAGGAACCCCTACCAGGAGCACATCTGCCCTTCATGGCTGGTCAAACCAGTTGAGCATGTCTTGCTATATTGTAAATTTTATAGAGATCTAAACAGTAAACCCATTTTGCCCATTAAACTACCCAGGGACATGCAGCCTCCTGCTACTTCTACGGTTGTAAACTTTTGCATAGCAGCTTTGCGCAGCAACAGATAATGAACAGACAGTGTCAAAACCGTAATCCATCTCTCTCAGCAACTGTAGCATATAATTCCCTATTGATTTTTACATTCCTATGTGTTATACTGCGTGCTGCTTTATTATCTGGATATTTTAGGAAGCTATCTTAAATGGCTGGCCTTTAACTATAATAAAAAAAAATGTTCATCTCCCACAGTGTTAGTCTATGTGAGCCTGGTGAGATAGTCCAGACAAGAAGAGTAACCAGAAGTACTAGCTCTTTCTTTATTGTAAGGTTATATTAACAGAATCTTGCAAGACTGAAAGTATCCCCTTTCCTTTAAAAAAATATCCTGTTACATGATAATTATCCAATCTTCCTCCTGTCTCCCAAGGTCATTCCCACAGACCATTACAGGCTAGAACCAGGAAAATTCCAATTCTAGTTCACTTTGGCCATCAAAGCTCCTTGGATAATTTTAGTCTCTCTCTCTCTCTTTCTCCCTCTCTTTCTCCCTCTCTCCCTCCCTCCCTGTGTGGTGTGTGTGTGTGTGTGTGTGTGTGTGTGTGTCCCTCTCTTCCTCCTTCCCTTTCATTCTCTCCACCCAACCCACCCAACAGAATTGCTGTGGTAGGAAAAGGCAGGAGGAAGGAGTGCAGAGTATACTGCCTTGAGCTCTTGGAGCCCCACCGAAAACTAAAATAAATAATTAATTGTGAGGGATGGTCCCTTCAAAGGGGGAACTGATGTGATGAATTACAGTGAAGTGGCAGTTTCTCAGGAAGGAGGAAGCCAGGATGTGAGGGCAATCTGGCTGCGACATCTGTCACCCCATTGATCGCCAGGGTTGATTCGGTTGACCTGGCTGGCTAGGCGGGTGTCCCCTCCCTCCCTCACTGCTCCATGTGCGTCCCTCCCAAGCTGCGCACTCGGTGGAAGAGGAAGACCATCCCAGATAGAAGGAATGTACCGATCTTTGGTCAAGGGTATATGATAGCTGCACTCCCCTGCTAGAACCTCCAAACAAGCTCAAGGAAGGAGGAAGCCCAGTCCAAGAACTGGGGCAAGACAAGAGGCAGCCCAGCCCAGAGCTGGATAGGAGACAGAGGAAGAGAGTTCCTAAATCTCCCAGGGTATCTCCATCAGGGTGATAGTACTAAAGATTACTGTGACAAGATTCTGTATACTGTGTGTAAGCAAATAAAGAACTGAACTGTGGCTGGATTGCTCTATGGCATTCTTGGACAGAACCTAACACCAATACCTTAAAAATGCTCAAAATTTCAACAGATTGAATATCACAAATTGGGGGGAAATGCATACAATACAGGTAAAATTTGAGAGTCTTATATCTCTCTGTGTATACATATTACATACAATTGTGTGGTGGTTTGGAACCCTGTACGCCACACCTGATCCTGAGGTGAAGTTTCCAAATAGAGTTGGCATAAGCAAAGGAATATATTTCCCCAGGGCAAAACCTAAACTTGTTTAAATGTAATTACAGGTTAATTGAAAAATGCCATTAATACGATTACTACCTATGTATTTAATAAATTCCTTCCTCCTATTAAAAATTACAATGCGTAATACAGTCAGTCCTAAAAGATCAAGAAATACTGTAGCTCTCCCCTTGGCCTCATTTTAGTCTTGATTCTTCCCTCTCTCTGGCAAGGTCATCCTCTTTATTGAACTGTTTGTGGATCCTTTCTGGAATATTGATTTTGTTGCTATTGTTATTTTATTCCACCTTTCTTGCATATAACAAGGCAGAGAACATGCCACATATTCTTACCTCCTATTTCCTCCAGAACAACTCTGTGAGATGGGTTAGCATGCGAGTGAGTGGCCTGAAGTCACACAGCTGGTTTTCAGGTCAAAGGTGGAATTAGAACTCATAGTCTCCTCTTTCCTAGGCTATCACCTTCACCACTATCCCAAATTGGTTCCAGCCAAGAATAGTCCTGAAGCTTAGCCAATGCTCCAGCCACAGCTAGAAAGACGACCTTTAAAAAAAAACACACAGGAAAAACTTCATAGAATAATCCTCCAAGAGAGGAACTGAAGCCCCATTGCAGCTTGTATCCAACTTCTATTTCCTAGGGTACCTTCTCTGGGGGCAGTATGAATCCAGCCCGATCTTTGGGTCCAGCTGTCATCACAGGATTCTGGGAACATCATTGGGTAAGTGGTCACTGCAATGGAGAGGAATGGCTTATTCCTAAGGAGAAGAATAGCCTGAGATTTTCCATCTCTTGGGTGCCCTGGAGGGAGTGGGGTCAATTTTAGTAGTTGTCTCTGGATTGCCTACCCAAGAGACACTCCTTTTTCCTGTCAGATAACTTTCTGGAAGTTCCGATTTAGGACAACCTTGAATGGATGATTATATTCAGCATTTAAATCTACAACTTGGAACTTTTAAAGTATTTTTTCTAATGCTAAATTGAATTTTCAAGGTATTAATATAAGGCTACCCAGAACCTGCTGGAGAATAGAGACACATATTTCCATTGTTTAAAATAGTATTTAGGTTTACCTTAAACTCCCATCTTTACTGGTTCCAGCCAGTGTTAGGTATTTTTCCCCTCCAATATGGGTTTCCCTGCTTTTTTTTCTTCCTCTCTCTCTCTGCTAGTCTTCCCTTATGCTTACCACGATGTAGCTTGAGCCTTGCTAGGATTCTTTACAACCACGTTCTTGCCAATCTGTTGGCTCTTATGTGATCTTCTCCCACCCTTCCAAGGGCTGATATATACTGCTTCAGAAACTACATCATGGCTCTCACGCGATCTCTCATTCCCACTTTCCAGGTGTATTGGCTCGGCCCTATTCTGGGTGCTGTTCTGGCTGGAGTATCCTATGAATTCTTCTTTGCTGACAGCGCTTCACGGGAAAAGCTTGTTGCCTGCCTGACCTGTCGCGACATTGAGATTGTGGAGGCGGCCAGCATGTCTCGGTCTTCACTTTCTGCTGCTCCTCAGGCTAAATCACCTGACAAGGAAGAACATGGCACTGAGTAGAAAGCTACAGCAATTCCCCATCTATTTGTCTTCTTGTAAAGCCTCTGTTCAGCTTCCAGCTTCCTTCCACCTTATGCAGCTTCATATATATTTATATCTGTATTGGCATTAAGTTTTGAGGTTGGTGCTCTTAAAGCACAGCACTGCCATCCTGACCATACCAGATTTCTGATTCTGTTCACAGTTTACAACAGAAATAGTATCAAATAGAGTAATCCAAGGGAGGATAAAAGCCAGGATTCCTAGATTCTCATTGTTTTTAGATAAGACCTAGTGCATGAGCTCATTAGCTTCATTATAGTTGGAGACACCTCCTTTGCCACCATCAGTCTTCAATCACCTGACTGATTTTAGATACACTTAATTTAAAACACATGTAAATGGAAAGCTCATGTAAATCCCACAAAGATCTCAGAAGTATTTTTAGAGACTAAAAATGGTTGCTGCCTAAGAGCCCAGTGCTTCATTTGGAAGTATATTTGCCTGCCAAGAAAAAGGGATACAAGTAAGGTGTGGTAGCAAGGCCTACCAGTTTGGGGAGGCCTAATAAACATTCTACTGTCCAATAGTTGAGTATTTTGTCCTTGATCAGTCCTGTGATGGGTGAGGTTTTATGGGGGTGCTCATGATATGCCCTAGAAATGGGTAGATCTATGGGGCATTGTCCCACACCACAAAAAAATTGCTGATCCCATGATTTAGTGAGATAGATCTACAGAAGATCGAAGGGAAAAAAAGGTTGATCCAGTTTCTGTTCTGAGGACAGATATAACAATCTGAGAGAAAGGACTGGAAATGAGGCCTCCTGCCTTCTGTTCCAAACTCTGCTTTTTTATTTTATTGCATGACCTTGGACAAAAGCTTTTCTCCAGATCTGTCTCTCATCTGTATTATACTACTGCATGGTACTATAGTGTGTACTGGTGTATCTATGGGCAATTAAAAGTAGATTGTCAAGACCCAAAGGTGCTTTTTCAGGAGGCAATTGGACTTTCTTGTTTTTCCTTTTGAAGACATTTTGAAGTGAAATGCCTTCAAAAGACAAAACCAGAAAGTCCAGTTGCCACCTGAAAAAGCACCTTTGGGACAACCATGACCTGGATGATTGAGAATCTTTGCAAATTTTTAGATGGTCAAGAATTTCTAATTTCCGATTGATGGACAACCAGCCACAATCTTACTCCTTTACTCCTAAATTAGATTGTGAATACTCAAGTATTCAGGACCAGTGCCTAGATTCCAAATTCTTCCCTTCAGAATGTTATGCAAACTTTTTTTTTCTTCTAAAATTCAACTTAGCGGAACCAGAGTTCTAGTCAAAGCCAGAACAGATTCTGGAAGCCTGAGAACCCTCATGAGCAAACATTTCAGGAAAAGCAGCGTGTTTCTCTTTGCCACATGGATGGAGTTTGACAAGAGGCCTAAGCCAACACACTCACACCCACCCCTGAACCTGATGTGCAATAAAATACGAGACTGTGATTGAGCATGCATATGCTGATTCTCCTCTCCTGTGTCCTTCAAACATGCTGGCCCTGGTCAAATGCTGAGCCCAGCATATCCCATTGTCCTTGCTTCTTTCCGACTTGGCAGTTTTTCCTCAACTTGCCCAATCCCAGAGCAGGCAGATAAATCCCCTACAGCAGAAAGAGAATTAGAGCCTGTTGAACAGTTCTGATTAAATAGCTGCTTCAAAATGCTATGGTGACAAATATTCCAGAGAGGCCTCTTTTGAAGCACAGAGGGCCCTGCTGGTTTTATCCTCATCCCTTCCACTGAGCAGTTAACCCATAAGACCCCACCTCCAGAGATGTATTTCTACCTTGGGTGTTCTCTCTGTTTAGCTTGATTTGCTTATTCATTCATTTTTTTTTATAGCTGGCCTCAATCCCAGTGGATTCTGAGCAGGGTATAACAAAGTCAAGAGGAATAATAAAAAAACAATAATAAACTATTATAATAAACTATCCAAAAACGAAACATCACAGAAGCCCATAGAACTACACTAATGAACTAAGAGTGAACATAACATGGATTAGAATTGTTTTAAGCAGGGCAGGGGTCACGTTGACCTCCAGGAGAAGAATATTCCATAAAAGGGGGGCCATCCCTCTGGAGGCCTGTCACCTGGTTCGTACTCTGTGTACCTTGGGAGAAGATAGGACCTGCAAAAGACTCTCTCGATACCTTGTCTGGATGGACAGAATCAATTCTGCCAAGGTGTTTCCTGATACATCCTGGTGCTTCCTCTTAAGTTTTTTTAAAATTATACAATTACCCTGCCTCATTCAGAAATGTTACAGGGATCCAGACAATATTTTTCTTATCTGTAACCTTTGTGGGTTTAAGATTACCTTTGGCAGGGCTTCCATGTTGGGTTTTTTCTTCTTCTTTTCCATTGAAAAACCATGTAGATAATACCACTCTGGGGTTGCAGAAGAGACATTCAGCCAAGTGACAAGAGACTCATGTAGCCTGCTTACCTTGCCTTATGGCAGAAGATGGCATTTTTTTGTTCACAGAGAGATCTGTGATATCATTCAACATAATAGCTGAACTGCAGGGATGATGATGGAGTATAGAACACAAAGAGCTGCTTATTTATAACATATTTTTGGCAGGAATTATTGGTGATATGGTAGGGAGTTGAAGTTCAATACATGAGCAAAACAGTAGGTTTGGGAAGGCTGAAATATAGTAGAGCCTTCTCAACAGTTCCTTATGGTTGCTTATTCCAACGGCATCAGCTAGCAGGATAGCATTAGCAGCAACTGCCTACAACTAAAGTAAGGCTTGGTCACCAAACTAATATTCAGGAACCATAATTATATCTTGACCATTAGGACCATTGTTATATCTTGACTATTGTGAGCGATATCCTATTCTATCCCATCCCATTGCATCTAGTGAGTACCAGTTTATTTTGTTCTATTTTAAACCATAACAATAATATTTATAGTTAATAGCTATCATCCTCCATAGTTGTTCAATAATTCTATCTCCCAGCTTGTGAACTAAAATCATTAGATCTCAGTCTAAAAATAGCTCTAAGCGGGGGGGGAGGGGGAATTTTAGATAGCGGAGGAAAAATAGGTAGCGTATAAATTGGATAGAATTGTAGGAATCCCTGAGATAAACTAATGTGGTTTGTACTGATAGCTCCTACCACCTTGCATCAACTCACTGCGATGACCAGCATTATGGGAATTTTATTTCAACCAAATTGTGAAATCAGTTGTGAAATCCTATATTAAAGATTCTATAGATTCTGGGATTGATAATGAGTGAATTGTTTCAAAAGAAAAGATATCAGAAGACAGCTGGGGGGAAAATACTGTACAGCAGGCACAAGAATACCATACAACATCAGACATGATTCCAGTGTTCAGAGCCAGTCAAAACAATCACATAAAGAGTTTTGTAACAGAGGGGGGCTATTCAAACCTGTACCTAACTCTAGGAAAAATATCAGAAGCAAAAACATTCCGAGTCTGAGCTGATTTTAATCAATGATCATGATAGGTCTATTCACCCAATCTTCTAGGAGAAAAGTGTCCAACGGGATAAAGAGAAATGGTTCAGAGCTACAAAACAAAGCAATGTATTGGTATTTCTGAAAACTGCTAATGACATATTGACAGTTCTGCGCTCAAACTAGGCTGGAAATAGTGGAACAGCTCTTACCTCACTGTATCCTATGGAGGAATACAGGAGGAAAGGCAGGTGGAGTATAGAAAATGTAAAATCATAAAACACCTGACATGCCTTCAGTTTCCAGTCCTAGTCAGAAACAATTTCATAAAGAATCTTAAGAAAGATGAGTCTTTTCCTACTCACACCTAACTTTAGCATAAACCTGCACCTGACAACAATTATTTTTCTGCCCAGTCCCAGTGGTGCTGCCTTCATCTTGCCTTCAGCCCATGAGTGAGACAGCCTTAACACTTTCTTAATGCAGCATTTCTCTTCCCCTGCTCCCCATTTATTCAAGAACAGTCAGAAGGTGTGCAAAATCTATCATTTATTAGATTTTTATTCCACTTTTATTGTTTTTATGAATAACTCAAGGTGGTGAAGATTCCTAATACTCCTTCCTCCTCCTATTTCCCTCACAACGTCCTTTGAGGTGAGATGGGCTATAAGAGAATGACTGGCCCAAAGTCACCCAGCCAGCTTTTATGCCTAAGGCAGGACTAGAAGTCACAGTCTCCTTGATTTCTCTAACCATTTGACCCTACACAAAACTGGTTCTCTATGATTTTGGAGGTATAACTGGGGTAGCAGAGAACTGACATGAACATCTCCAGGCATCTGTTTCTGTAGTGCTTTCCTTCTCTTCTGGCACCTTGAGCAAACCCTATCACCTTAAATCTTGCTATCCCAGAATGCATCCTTACTGGGCATCCAGAATAGGACCTTCCCATGTTGCTGACTATACAATTGTACTGCATAATGCTGTATAGGCAGGGATTGGTTTCTCCACTGGCCAAAATCTGAATGTCATCAATCCCTAATCACTGTATAGGATATATGCTGGAGTAAGATCTAGCACTCTGCCCCATCCTTTTTTCCCTCTTTGTTTTTCCAAAGGACTGTTGAACTATTGGTCTAATGACTATTAGTTGAGAAGGAAGAGTTGTCTCTCTTGACTGCAACATAACCATCCTTCATTAATAATTTGTGCTGCTTAGTTGTGGCCACTGCCATAATGTTCCTAAGAACTGAGTATATGTAAAGGAAGTGTTAAACTCTATGGTGTTCTTTAATACATTCCCCCAAAATAATTACTCTATTGATCTGTCAACCTACTGATCTTAAGTGATAAGAGAGAGATCTTGGCTTCCATCTAGCAATCAACCAGAGTTGTGGAACGCTGGATAAGTATAGTTAAAGAGTTGTATTTTGAGAATGGTTTCCCCCCCCCCCCCAAACTGTGTGCAGGTGGACAAGTCAACCTATTCTTCAAAACATAGCACCTGAAGCAGTTGCAGAAGTTGGGTTCCAATCTTCCTCATAGAACAACAGAAAATCAGAGGAAGGCCCTCTATCCATCTCCCATGCAACATAAATAGACATGGTATTCAAAAATAGGAATGGTTGGTACCTGTGAAATAGCCGTCTGTCAGGTGCTTTGGGTTATAGTTTTTCAGTTTAGGAAGCAACAATTTCAACTGACGGAATTATTAGAACAACAACAAATTGGCTGCAGAAACCTGGTTTCTGGTCCGTGCCAAAACAGCCGTACACCACAGGTACAGAACCCAGTGTCCAAATGAAAGGAGGAAGTCCAAATGCAAACCTGACAGATCAACCCTGACTACATCACCTGAAGCCTCTTTCTCCATGTTCTTAAGACTATCCATATGGAAGGTCTTCTGCAGGCATAACATTGAAAATACTACTTGCATTCCAAGACATCTAAAGTTATCTTCATGCTCCCATAACAGTGGGCTGATAATGAGTAATGAGACAGTGGCAACATACAAAGAAGTATGTTCACTACCTTCTGGACATACTTAGGTGGCGATGGAGATGCACTCAGAGGCAACAGAGATATAGTACCGCAGT